ATGGCTGGGGATTTGGGGTGGGGGATGCCAGTGGAGGAAGGAAACGGGATGGGGAGGGTTGGGGATTGATAATTTTTTCTTTTCTATTTTCGTTTTAGTTTATTCCTTCATTGACATCAACTTTTTCCCAACTTACCTTCAAACAGAGTTAACCTTGCACAGAAGGTAACTTTTTACAAGGCAAATGGATGAAACCCATCCACCAAGGAACCAAATTCAGAAAAATTGGAAAGCTGGGCACGTGCCATAATATGTATATGACGGCGACCTCAGCTGTAATTTTCTCATTTTTTAAAGTCAACAGTGTACAGACAGACGCAGGTTTTAGAATGTGCTCGAGACTCCCATCATGCAAGCATTTCAATTATAATGGTTCAAATAACGATAACATCATGAGCCTAAATCACACCCCTGACATGGAAATAGCAGGAATGGGCAAGAATGTCCATTGCTTCATCACCTTTGCCCCAAACCAAACCCCGTCGTTAACATGAGATTCGCAAGCGTCGAGGTGTGAAAAAAGTGAAATTCTAATTGCATTAAGCTAATATGTTTTATTGAATACATAAATTTCAGAAATGATAAAAAAATATCACCCAATAAACAAGTGAAATCATGAGAAACACTATCTTACAGGATTAGGCAGGTATGTTCCAGTCCCGCTTCGGTGTCTTGGCATACCATCCGTGAAACGTTGATAAACATAGGGAGGTCTACTGCAAACTGACTGGAGCGGAGTGGAAGGAATCAGATGGTGATCATAACTCGGCATAAGCCGAGTGAAGAGGTTTGTGTTTGTTGGAATTTGATGCCATTTGTGATATTTACTTTCTAACACTGGGGCAACGATGAATTGGGTCTGCCCATTGCTGGAATGTTATTTACCATTGCCCGATAACATAAAGAGACTGGCCCAAATCTATTCCCACTTGCAGCTGTTCTGGACCGTTGATTTAACGGCTGATGCATGATATTATATATACCAGCTGAAGCGTCATTTGGGGCAGATCTTTTTCACTGTTGTTTCTCTCCTTCGCGTGTGAGAGCTTCTGGATCTTTCTGTCCTTTGATGTTCTTCGTGCTCTCTCTTCTTGTTTCTTTGTGATACTTTGTGTATAGATTTAAACATTTGGTTTTAATCTTCAATCTGTGTGGTTGATGCCTTCGTGGTTGTTCGAGAGAGAGTTTCTTAGTGTTGGTTTGACCCTGTGTTTTCTTCGGTCCATTGAGTAACCATTGTGGTGAATAGATTAGGGGTCCATTGAGTAAGGTTTGGTGTTTTCTGATGTCTGTTTCAATGTATTAAAGGGTGAAATGAAATTCTAAGCCCTATGATTTGATATACAACTTGGTGTTGTGAAATTCTTGGTTTATTCTTAGTGAATATATTTCTGCTTCCGTTGGTTTATTTCCTTACAAGTCGTATCAGAGCGTGTGTAAGGCCTCATTGAGTCTTCGATCATGTGAATGTCTCTGGAAAATTAATTTCCAGTTGGCATACTTGGATCGATCTGAAATTGTAGAAACCCTAACCCTATTTTTTATTATTATTATTCCTTTCTGATTCGGCCATTAATTCTTTCTCTGTTTGTGTTTCTTGCGAGGAACCTGTTCTTAGTGAACTAATTGGACGATTGGACTGCTAGCTATGTGCCTGTAGAGTCTTCAAATCTATTCTTCTTGGTGCTGGTTCTTTGAACCAACTTAGTGAGCCTTCATAACCCCCTGATTTCTTATGTTTCTTGATTATGTTACTATTATATCTTAAATGCTGTGAATTCTCCCTGATTTCCCCTGTGTTTTGTGTCCCTTTGGCGTTAGAGTTGAGCCTTGACCTGGGGTCTTCAGCCTCAAGGAATCCTAGTGAACTCTAACACCTATTTCTGTTGTTGATATATCTATTTTCAATTAGTTTGATATACTGTAGCAGTATTCTTTGTGAATTCTTGTGATTAGAGGCATGATTATTCTCATTGTTTATTCTCTGTAGAACTGTGACCTCAAAAATTATTGTGATTAGAGGCATGATTATTCTCGCTATTTATTCTCTGTAGAACTGTGACTTCAAATGACAATAACAACATTTGAACTTGGAGTTTTTAATGGAAAAAGGGATTTCCCCATTTAGCAGCAAAAAATAAGAGAGGTCTTAGTTCAACAGAAAGT